TACACGGGAAAAAGTAAACTGTAATAAATAACAGTCGATTTATTATAAGTAATGATCAACTGCTAAAAATTACCATTTTTCAAACAGTAAAATCGTGATTTTACTGTTCACTTTATAATATTTACCATTTAAACGTTACAATTTACCCTTTACATGGAAAAAAACACTATTTCAATCAGTAATATTCGCTATGTAAATGTCTAAAATATTTAAGTATAATAATTAAGAATTTAGATTTTGATATTTATCATTTCGTATATGATAAGTAAAAAGTATAAAATAAAGTTAGTAAATTTCTAATACAAGCAACGTCAATATTTACAAAGTAAAATAGTAAATTTTAAACGCAACGCTAAAAATCAAACTGTAATTATTGACTTGCTTGGACTGGTAAATGTATATTTTAAAAGTATAATTTTTACTGTTTCAAATGTTAAATTCTCCCAGAGTGAGACCCCCTTCTCTTTCATCTGAGTTCCCCTTCTCCTCATAATATGGACTATATATTGAAATGGCAATTTTTACTGTTTGAAACTGTAATTTTTTAAGATGAAAGAGTCGTTATTTACTATAGTGACAGCTACTAATCACTTATTTTGGATGTTAAATTATAAATTGTGGCTTTTATACTTTCTACATTAAGTTCTGTAATATTTATATTTTTGCCACCCCGATGTCCGCTTTACTGTTTGAAACTATAAAAATTAACCGGAATCCGAGTGAAAATATTACAGTTTACTTTTTTCCGTGTATAATTTTCATTTGATAAATTAATTTTTATTTTTTTCTTAATGAATAACGTTAGTATTTCACATGGAAACGTAATAAATTTTCGAGAGGAGTCCGCGACATTTTAAAAAGTTTTATCAAGAGATTTGCAGGATCAAAAGATCACTCTATCTGTAGTATTTAAGAGTATATTACTTTAATGGTCTTATTGGTTACATATCTAGCAATCTTTCTCATTAATCTTTAGCAATTAAAACTTGGAAAATTAAACTCAAGATAAACCAAATATTAGAAAATTTTACTTTTGATGATTTTAACTAAACAAAAGTAAACTTAAGATGAATTCAATTTATGATAAATGTTTATTATTTTTTTTTAAGGTCGAAAAATTATTCAAAATTTTTTAAAAATAATTTTTTGCATTAATCTACTTTGAATTAAATTTTTTAAGTTTTTAATAAATAAAAATAAATTATTAAGTACTCACCGGCTCGTAAACTTCACAATCTTGAATCGGAGCTTTTACTTTTCCATTCGAACAAAATAATTTTGTGTTCCACCGAATCAATCCAGTCAGACATTGATCTAGACATGAGTTTTTGCACCATTAGCAACATTCCTATCATATTGGGTATGTAATTGTTTGCATGATTAGCTGACAGTGGACATGGCAACAGCAACAGCAGTAGCAGCGGAGGGAGTACTAGTACAAGCAGCCAAAATAGTCAAACGGGTATTTTATTATCATTTCCATCTGTGGTGAGTGTCAACTGTCCTCCAAGACATCGGAATTCATCAGCTGCAGGTTTGTAGTTTTTACAGTATCACATCCACGCATTTTATCACTAAATAATTGTAAAACTGTTCCCCTGGTTATATGTGTCACATAAAAATAATTTTGCAATAACGCTTATCAAAATTTTTGAACAAAATTTTGCTTCTATCTGTGAAAAAAATAAAGATCTAAAAAAAATTATCTGCTCTAATCAGAGCGGATTATAATTTTTATTTTGTTACATCTGCTACTATGCATCTCATTATTTTTATTAATCTTTTTGTATGAAACCAACACGCATGTCTACGCTATACATCTCTTCTATTCTATTCTACTTCTTCCATTGCTTCTACTTGTTCTTCTAAACAACTTTCAACTTCTTCCGTTGTCCTGACTAACACAAATGTGCCACATCATATTTTATCAAGAACAGAAGATTATTCTACGGATAACAATCGCCGAGCAAGCAATTTTTCCGAAGTAGAAGACGGTAAGAAGAATGGTTTATCGGATGGTGTCTTATCCAACACAAAATTATCACAACAAAATATTTGCCGAAGAAAATGTAGCTTAGTTTAATCACAATCGAAGCATCGTTCATTTTATTATCGATCTCGAGAACTAATAAATTATTATTTATAATTTATAAATATTTCTCGACGGTCTACAAATTTTAAAAGTGATTTTCAACATAATTTTAGGAGAGACCAATTAAAACGACTCCTTACAAAAGTTTGATGTGAATAAATTTTTTTTTACCATTGTCAATTTCAAAAGTTTCAGTCTTTAATTTTAAAGTATTAGAAATCATAAAATATTTTTACTATTCATAAAAAGAATTTAGTTTTGAGATGAAAAATTGTCTATTCAAAATTTTGGTAAAATTCTATTTTTAACATTTAATTAAGATAAATTTTACTTTAAAACATCTAAGTAAAGTAAGAATAATTAAAAAATAAATTTTGAAAGTATAATTTAATATTTAACACGATATTCAAAACAGAAAAATCTAAAAATACCTTATTATTTAAAGTCTTCTTAAATTATTTAAAATATGGAGCGTGCCAAAGAAATTGACATGTACAAATACATATTTAAAAAAAAATTAGACTTTTCGAGACTAGCCAAGTAAAAATAATATCAAAAATAGAACTTGAAACTTCCAAAATGATAATCATCATTTGAATTTTTAAAATTACGTCAAAGTGTTATTCAAGATCTTTACTAATATAAAAAAAATTCCAAAAACTAATGTACTCAGGAATTCGTCTTACTTTGGTTTCTCCTTTAGACTATTTAAATTAATTATAGAATAATTAGTGTAGGGAAAAATATACTTTAGCACACAAATGTATGAAAATTGATAATAATAAATATTGTATACAATAGTTGATTTAAGATTAAAAATTATGAGAATTAAATAGATGTGCCGACAATTTATGAACAAGGATAATAATTATGTAAAAATATTCGCCCTGAACCGATATTTGATTAAAAATTTTTTAAAACGATACTCATAACCAAAATCAGAAATGAAAAATGAACAACATAATATATTGATTGTTTTAATGGATAAAATTAAAATTAAAATACATTATAAAATATGACAAGAAAATGTATTGCTCTAAAAAAGTGAAGACAACTATCAACTCCTGCTTTTATTTAAAATTTTTCTCGTAACGTAATGGTCGAAATTTGAAAAAGAAAATTAAAAAAAAATTTTCGACCATACGGTTACTAAGATGTGCAACCGCTTGTACACTATTTAAAAATGAAAAACAAAGCAATAAAAAAAAGTAATAAGACTTAAAAATGTGTCTTTTAATGAGGAAGGTATATGCTTGTAGAAATAAGAATCATGTGTCCCGTCAAGACCTGCAGCCAGCTCTCAACGAACTCGCAGTGCTCAGGTAACGCGCACTAATCGTAGATGACAATTTTAATAAAAACCGCTTATTGATTGTCGTGGTAATTTTGAATTTTATAAAAAAAATCATTTACTTTATTATGCGAACAAAATTTTTAGAAAATTATACTGAACCTGAATAAATTAAAAATTTGATAAATTATAAGTACTAGAGTTTTTTTTTTTTTTATTTTATTCATAAATTTATCGACTCATCAATAAGTGTTTTATAGAAGTACGCGCCTTACAAGCAATAAAATTTATTTGTTACAGGCTATAATTAAAAAAAAAAAAAAGCCGCGTTTTAATTAGATATTTTTTTAAAATCAGTTTTAGATTAAGCCACCTAAAATAATAATAATAAAAAATCATATCGTGACTCCACTCGTATTTACACTCTAGGTTTAAAGCACACGCGTGGATTAAATATGTCTGGCACAATGATGGTGATTATAAATATATTTTTTTTTTTTTCAAAATTTTTAATGCATATAAAATAGCACTAAAGGTACTTCAGAAACCAAAGCCCTATAGTTAATAAACTGAAGTCGAGTCATGGGCTGAAAAAATTAAAAATAAAAACAACAATTGGTGTAAAGAGTTAAGAAAATTAAAAAAAAGTCGAAACGAAACCGACGAAAACTCGTAATGGCGTGAATAGGACGTAGGTATTAAAGATTAATGCATGTGGCTGTTGTGCTGTGCTATGTACCAAAAATGGTTTAAGTATTTAAATGACATATTGTTGTTACTGACCGTGAATATTGACGATTACAGCTCGCAGGCAGGAGATTATCAAGATGACTGAGCAGCTCATTGAAAGTATTAACACCGGTGACTTCGAGGGTTACACGTAAGTCTAATCTATCAAGACTCAACAGTAACAACCTTGATTTGATATTTTTACTATTAAGGTATTATTAATTAAATTGTTGACAATGTTTTAACTCATGAAATCTTTTGTGGTGATAATTTCTTTAGGAAAATCTGTGATCCACATCTGACTGCATTTGAACCAGAGGCTTTAGGTAATTTAGTCGAAGGAATGGACTTTCACAAATTTTACTTTGATAATGGTAATTATGCCTAGTTTGCGTCACTATTTAGTTATTTAAAATTATTCTGCACAGATATTGTTGGGTTTATTATTTTTTCAAATGTTTTTTTTCACTCTTAAATTCAAAATGCGAATTTGACTTCGAAAAGTTTTAGGCTTTCGCATAAATTGCAACTTTGTCATAAACTTTAATTTTTTTAATATACTCAAAAAGAAATTTTATTATACATATTTCTACTGATCAACAAAATTTACTTTTTTTAATTTTATAGAGATCAAAAGAAACAAATTGATTAAATTTTAACAATTTAGTTATTTTGATACGCATAAAATAAAATGATGTGTAATTGAGTTTTTTGTTATTTATTTATACATTTTACGGTAATAATTCAATTTAAAGCAGATACATGGATAAAAATTACGTAACTTTCTTGTATCAATAATTAACAAATATATTTATAATAAAAATGAATTTTTTTTTTTAATTAAAAAAGTTGTGATTTATCCGAAATATCAAATTTGAGTGTTTGCACACCGCTATTTTTTACTCTTTATTACTTCAGATCAAATTGAATTCACTATTTAATTGGGTTTATATAAATACCTGATTTCTAGCAATTTTAAAAAATTTATTCTTATTAATTATTGTTTTCAATATTTCAAAATTTTTTCTACCAACTCTGGAATAATTAAACTTTCAGTTCGTATTTGCGTAAAAAAAATGAAGGGCACAGGGAGATAATCTCTTGAGAGATACTTTCATGTATTCTGGATATGTTAAAACTATTAAAACATAGAGGTCATAAAAGTTACAAATTTACATTGAAATTAGTTTCCGAGGAATTAAAAAATTTTGATAACTTTTTCTACAATTATAATATTTTTATAGTATATTAGAGGTTGACATTATAGAATGGCATTGTTCCTCAAATTTATAGTTTGTGATATTAAAATTAATTTGTAGTTTTTATTCGTTAATTAATTCACTCAGTTCGTTTTACTTTTATAGAAAAAAACCTTCTTCATTCTCCTGAGCCAGAAATATAAATTTTTAATGCAGATGTATTGAAAATGAATAATAAAAACCCTTACATTGCTTTATGATTTAACTGGCATCAAAAAATGATTGAGTTTTTTTAGTAAAAAAATCTTTATATTATAAAAAAAAAATTTATTTTAGATTTTTTAGTTTTAGCATCCACCTCAATACTAACGTCGGCTAAAGAAAAAAATATAATATAGCATAAAAAATATAAAACTTCAACATTTTTTTACAATTTTCCTGCACAAACTTTTTTAATAAGATATTGATACGATCTTAAAAATAATAGTCAATTATACATCAGTGGCAACATTGGTTTTTCTGATTGAATATGATAAAATTAATTGTTTTCTTTTTTTTAGTTATTACAGTTTTACGTAAGTTCAATTTTTTTGTCTATTTAAAAATTTTCTCCATTTAATTTAATTACTTTTACACAGTAGTTTAGACCTCAAAAATAAATCTCTATAATTATAAAAATTTATTTGTGGCCTAGATAATTTATGATGAGCCAATTATATAATTCTCAGCATGTAACTTTTTTTATTTTTTTAATCAATACTATTTACAAGTACAGAAAGCTGGTAATCAGGTATTTACCCTAAACTATATTTAAAAAATAGAAGCTTGATATTTATTTACTTTCTTTCTCCATAAAATATTTTTAGTTATATTTTGCTTCTTTTTTAAAAAAATTTATTATGTTATTATAAATTGCTGACTACAAAAAATAATGAATCGCTGTATCTCAATGAAACTTTAAACAAAGGGTTCTTGAACTCTTACCATGTCTTTGTAATCTTCGTGTAACAATTAAATTTAAAACCCAAGCAGTCCTGGGGAAGAATTCTAGTTGCAAGGCCGTCAACACAACAATTCTTAACCCTCATGTGCATTTACTTGGCGAAGATGCCGCTTGCATCGCTTACGTCAGGCTTACTCAATTTGTAGACAAGTAAGTTTATTTAATTATTAATAAAATTACAGCTAATGAATAATTCAATAAAATAATGATTATTTATTTCAGACAAGGGGTAGCGCATACCCAGCAAAGCGAGGAGAGTCGTGTATGGCAGAAAAAGGACAACAAATGGCAGAATGTGCACTTCCATCGAAGTGCTGTGACTGGGCCATCGCCTTTCTCTTGCAATCATAAATAAAAGATCTGGTATAAATTAATACATATAATAATATGCATAATATATACTTTTTATTGATAAAGCATTCATTAAAATTAGATCTCGATGAGTACTTAAAAATAATTAGTGTGCTGTGTCACTTATGCCGATATAATATTATAAACTTCTAGAAGAAAAAAAAAAAACAGAGAGCGGAAGATTGAGTGAAAGAGAGAGAGAGAGAGAGAGAGAACGAGAGATAATTTACTGATTGTGAATAAATAATAAATAAAAAAGAAAAAAAATTTTAACGACACTGTGTCATAATTTTTCTTCTGTATAGTTTTAAAATGTGGGCACATTGAAGCTCAACTCTATGAATGTTTTCAATAAGACGATAATCTTGTTAAAAAGTCTTATCTCTATATTTACTGAATAATAAAAGCCAACTATAAATAATGAATGAGAAAAGCATAAAAAAGGGAAGAAATAAATGAAATAATAACAGAGAAAAAATGGAAAGTACTGAGCAGAGAAATATTAATATTGATATAACGCATATTTGAAGACAGATTAGTGCAGAAATGGTATTAAATCATTTTTTTTCTTGAGTACATTTTTGTACATAGAAAAAAAAAAAGTATGCTCTAAAAATCTTAATAGCTCAATAAAAACTAACTAATGCACCTCTCTGTACTAATCTTAGACGTTTTTCAAACAATATGCATTATAATTATCGTCGATAAGACTCGAGTATTAACGAAGTCTGCTTAATATTTTTTATTAGTTAGAGTAACAAATTTAATTAGGGAGTCGCAATAAAAAAAAAAAAATAATAATAATAATTAAAAAAAAAAAAAGTAACACTTTCGGCCCGATCGAGCCTTGATATCGACCAACGTGCCATGTAGCTACGACTCTTATATGAAAACATAAAACGAAAAAAATAATTAATGATAAATAACTAAAACAAAATGAGATATTATAATCTGAAAACACTTAGCCCAGAGTCTTATACCTGATAAGTGACTCTCGTCAAGACTGCAATCGATAAAATAAGTGAAGGAAGATATAAAAAAAAAAATTGTAAAAAACAATTTCATGATTATGCTGTAAAAGGAGCTTTAATTATATTACTGCTCCTGACTACGCTAGTAAAATACTTGCACAAATCTAATCTAAAAATTTCTGTACCACCGACGGCATTTTGTCGAGTATAAAATATAATAATTATACTATTGAACTATTGTTTAATCATAAGGATTAAAAGATTATTATGCAAGTAGTTTGCTAGCGTGAAAAATAAAGATGTAATTGTGTACTTGAATTCGATGAAAAATCAACATACCGAACGAAACAATCACGTGGACCGGGACCTAATGAAATGTGCGATAAAACTTGATTTATTATTTGTATTTAAATAAGTCGAACATATCGACTTTTGAATTACTAATCGAATGCCTGATCGACTCCCAATAATCTTTATTAATTAAACAAAAATATCAACCATTATTTACTTTGTAAAACTTGAATACTTTTAAAAAACGAAAAAAAAAAAATGATTATTATTAAATATATGTACTTCTAAGCTTGTTATTAATCGTTTAAAACTCGTAAATATATTATCACTCATGTGCGCACGTCTTTCCAAATCAATTTTAAAAAATTTAATAAATATTATGTTATTTATATGATATAAAAATATTACATAGTATTAACTGGCGCCCAAGTCTTTTATCATAATGTTAAGTAACTAAAATTAATCTCATTATGTCTTAATAATATTGAAGATTATTAGAGAAAAAAATAAATTAATTATGCATAAGCGAAAGAAGTATAAAAATGATAATTGATAACGCACGATTGATTGTTATAGATATATGTATACATGTATATGTCTTTATCTTTTACTACCAAGCCTTGATTGTCTGTTGGGTTCGTTGGCTCATTGATAATATAATAATGTAATTATCTTTTTTTCTCACATCGCTGTTCCTTCCAGAGAGGTTCAGGCTTGTTAGATCTGTCCACCTTTGCCCGTCTGAATAATGCACTGATCCGTAATTAAATTAATTGTCAAATCGATTGATTAAAGTAACGAATTTTATAATTATAATTAATTCAAGTAATTAGTTACATATAAATATAAATATATAAATAAATATTCATTTTATATTAGTTTGAATGAAAAGAAGTATTGCTAATGATATTGTAGTTATTAATTATTCTAAGGCGAGGCAAAGTTATTTAAAAACGTTGTACAGAACTTTCTTCCATATATTTATTTTTTTTTTTTTTTAAGATTCTTTGTTATTTCTTTATTATCCTTTCTTATTTATTTCATTGGTTATATTAAGGAATAACTGCAACTTATTGATTGCAATTGTTGTAATTAAAAAGGGCTGTTTTAGAAATTTTTATTATTTATATTGTTATTATAATTATTATGTTGTACATCAACTGTAAATGTGCGGTCGCCGTTAAAAAATATTAACAAATAATATAATAAAATACTCTTCAGTCTGTGCTTGGTCGTAAATAAAAACAAAAAATAACTAATGCGATTTCATTATAATAGTACGACGTATCTTGACATTATCTTTAGATAAATTTCTGATGAGAGTTGTTGTAAGTCTTTAAACTTAAATTAATAATTATAATAAAAAAGAGAATAATTATAGCTACATTTATATTAATTTATTTCTCAGATTTTTATGATCTATAATATAAATATATATGTATATGAATATAATTGAGAGTGAATATTAAAATCGATTGAATGTTGTCATTAAATAATACTGACAATATTTTTAAAGTCATGTAAAAAAGATTATTAAAATAAATTTACTAGATTCATTTGATTTGCGCAGTTATAAATGGTCGAAGATTTAAAAAATTACATCCCAGAATTTTATAATTGTTAATGGTTTTTTGTAACAGTTTACTAATAGTTTTATAACATCAAAAATTACAGTAGAATTTTTTAAAATAACTGCTACATTTTTTATTCGCATAATTATTCAGTAGATTGTTTCAAGCATAATAAAGGTTTTATCAAAAATTTTAATAATATAATTTGAATGCATTCTATTCTATTTTTTTTTAAATCAGATCGATTTTTTGGAAATTCTTTTTTTTTAATATCGTTCCAAGTTATGTCTTCTTTTAAACACTTATTGTTGGCCGCCATAATAATTTTTTTTTAATAATTTTAATTGAAAACAATTAGTGATTAAATTATATCCTTATATTTTTTGTAAAAAAAATTAATTTAGTTGGTAAATTTATCGAAAAACGGTTTTAAAATTCTTGAATCTAGTGATTTTTTTCAGATATCTTCTTTTCTATATACCCTAAAAAATTTTAAGTCACGTATATTTGATCAAAAATATCGATTTTATATAATCTAACCTTCTATATTCATCAGCTCTGGTATAAACTACTGAAACTAAAAAAAATTCATATATATACATCGTATATATGTACATATACATTTATGAGCATTTAAGTTCTACTCTCTGTCAGATCTCTATTTCATATGATTAATACTACATGCATACACGAATATTATATTTGAAAAATAAAATAAATGAATTCTTAAAAATAAAAATGGATCTATAATTTGCAAATGAGTGAATATAGAGTAACATCCATTTTTTAAATTAATTATTACTAAATTTTTATCGAATTTACTTCATTACTAATATAATAATAAAAATAATACTAGGTATTTCTACACGTTCGTACATTCTCCATAGCTGTCACGAATAAAGTCGTAATTAAAAAAAATTTAATCATCTTTGCCATCTATATATAAATATACATATATATATATATATATATATAATTCAAAGTTACTACGGATAAATATATGATTTATTGTCAAAATTATATAAATAAATAAATAATATTTATAATAGGAATTATATAAATAATAACTTATATTATTATTTTGAATTCTTGTTATAAGTATACACTATATTGCCGCACGAATTATATTGTTTAGTAAATAAAATGAAAGAAAAATTAAATAACATACATTTAGTACCAATATTTGAATATTTAATAAATTTTAAATGAATTTCAAGGCCGTTATGAGGCATATTTAAACATTGTCTTTTTTTTACTCGTAGTTATTTCTTACTATAACTTATATGATAACATTATTCTATAAAATCAGACCATGTTGTTAATATTGTCTAAAATGTGGTATTTTACAAATATTATAGCTACTATGTATTCATAACTTCATTAATATTGATATAAATTTGTTAATTATGTACTTTAGTTGAACGAATCAATAACTTTCTTGGACATACATAATACCATTTTTAATTCATTGAATTGATGGCGAATATTTATTTAAAAGCACTGTTTTAATTGTATTTAAATCGATTTCTATTTGAATGTTTCTTCATTAAACTATTACAAAAAAGTTAAAAAAAAATATTATTATTAATATATCTATCATTGTCCCTAAAAGTTTCATATCCCATGTATGTATACTTTTTAAGAATTATCTATACATTATATATAATTTAAAGTTGTTTTGTTAAATAATTGAGTTGTATATTGTTAAAATGGAAAAATAATAGCTTTTGTAAAAGATATGATATTCTTTACACTTACTATGTGTTCAAAAAAATTATTCTCTATTAAAATAAAAAATAATTAATTCATCATGTACGTATAATTTATGTTTCCATTCCTCTGTTATAATTGGATTAACGATGGCAATGAGTTTCATTGGAGTCTACAGTTAAATGGGTAAGCAAAATTTTAAAAGATTTGTAAAACGTACCGCAATAAGTTGCAGAAGTAATTATATTTTACTAATTTTTCGCATCTTGAGAAAATAGTAATTTTTGTAAAGTTTTGCTGTTAACGTACAATTTTTTTAAAAGCAAATAAACATCTATCATAAAAATTTTAAAGTTTAGAAGCTACACTGAGAAAAAAAAATTACTTTTGAAAGCAATGAGCAATGTTGTAATAAAAAATTCATTTTTTGAAAATTTTATTTTTTAGCTGAAGAAAAGATTTAGATTTAGAAAAGAACAGTTTTTGACGAAAATTCGCAAGTTTTCTATTTAAAAAAAAATTTCATTCAACAAGAAAGTTATTGTGAGAAAAATTTTTATTTCTTCAACTAAGAAATAAGATTGTTGAAAATTTTCAAGAAATTAACTTCTTGTCACAACAATGCCCATTTTTTTCAAAAGAAATATTTTTTTTCAGTGTATTTTGAAGATAAAACCCAGATTGTAATAAACTGCTTTGTCAAAGAATTATTAAGTTCTATGAAAATTAAAACAAATAATATTTTATCTAAATAATAAGAGTCGCTAGGTGGCGAATTGAACGGACGCAAAAAAACGCGTGCTAAAGCAACTTTGATATTTTATATAAAAATAAAAGGCGAAAAATTATAAAAAAGTGACCACAAAGTGAGCAAAAATTTAAATAGTAAAATATTATATAAAGAAGTGAAATCAGTAAGCGAAATATTAAATAAAAGTGCAAAAAGTGTGGGCAAAAAATTTAAGGTTAGGAAATAAATGGCGGAAAGAGGAAATATAGGAGGCTACAACACGAGAAGTAGAAGCCAAACGGACATAAGAAGTTTCGGGATGGCGGACGTTAAAAAAAAAACCGGAGGATGAAATTTCACATGTAAATGAAAATTTGCATAATGATAGTGAAAAAATTAATGAGGCAAACGGGTTGGATGATCTGGATCAGACAGTGATAAATACTATAGATGAGGCGCATTAAGAAGAGGGGAAAAACAAAGATGGAGAAAAGGATGAAAGTGAAATCAGCGGGAAAAATAGCAAGACGTCGGTAAGCAAGAAAAATGATGACTGGATGAACCAGATCTCTATAGGAAGTACTGATGGCAAGACAAAAGATGGCGCTGGGGAAAAAATAACAGACGGGGAACTGGAAAAAGTGGCGGAATACATACTGGAGAGAATAACATGTGAAAATAGAAGGAAGGAACTGGAATGGGAACTAAAATTGAGCAATACACTGAATGATATAATGGAGCTAGCATTGTAAATAATAATGCTTTGGTCAGGAAGATGGACAAAATAAAGGTAAAATGCGAAAAAAATTCAGAAAACTGCAGAAATTGCATTTTCTACAAAGGAAACGAGAAAAAAATAAGAGAAGAATTAAAATCTGAAAAGACAAAGTGGGAAGACGAAAAAATAATGCTATCTGAAAGATGTTTAAAGGCAGAAAAAAGAGTAAGGGAATTGGAACTTGAAAAAAACTGTGGAAAAGATCTAAATCTAAAAAAGGAGATAACAACAACAGGAGAAAATACTACAATAATGCAGATTACGTAACAGAAGAACAAACACAGAAATTATTAAGGGATGTAAGACTGAAGAATGATGAAGAAAGAAGGAAAAAATGGAGCATGGTTACAAGTACTGTTTAACCGCTAGAAAAGAGATCTGGTCAAATACTCATAAGAGAAATTACGCCTTCGGACTTAATCGTTAAAACTCGGGAATAATCGTATGACCTCGGGAATAATCGTATCACGCTATGGCCGTCGCGCATGCGCGCCTTGGTTAGCGGTAGAGAAGCCGGCTCGCGTGGTCTGCTGCAACAGTTGTGCTTGGACTTTTGTACTAGTACGACTACTCTGTGCTAATCAATTCTGACAATTCTTACTTGCATCTCACATTCATTCAAATATTTAAATTATTTATTAAATATAAATAATTATAGTAGATTCAATTATACTTTAAATTCTCAATTCATTTAAATCAGTTTAATAGTTCAGTGAATTAACATAAATAAATAAAATCAAGTAAATTTGTTTAGTGACGCCACGCGGCCATTACGCGCCACCGTTAACAAAGGATTGAATCAGCCACGCGGCTTTAGTCAATCCATAATTGACGCGTGATATTAACAATTAATTACATTAAATCAATTATTAACATTTAATTACGATCTTATTTAATTTAACTTATAAATAATTAAATTCCAATTTCAAATCATTTGACTAATTTCTACACGATAAACATCAAACTCAATTGACTAACATTCTGTTATCAATTGAATATTATTAGCTCTCACCTAGAGACAATTGAACATTAATAGCTCTCACTCTGAGACAGTTCAAATTAATTAGATATTACCAGCTCCCACCTTGGGACTTATCTAATTCAAATTATCGATAATTTTCTATCTAAGGCGGCTGAGCTCACCCCTATTGCGTTATTACAACGTAATTTTACACATTCACACTTACACATACACAATTTACTTGTATAATTTTCATCAAGGAGGTTTTTTCCCAGCCTAGCTGGGTTTTCCTCCTTTGGGGACAAATAAATTCTTCTAAATTGTTCCCCAAAAAATCCAAGTATTATTATTTAATTTCCTAATCCCAACTTTATCGTATAATTTAAAACAATTACGGGAATTATCCGCATTGGATAGTTTTCGACAAAACAAGTACGCCAATAGGAAAAAACAACGAAGAAAGGTACCGAAGAGAAGATGGAAAAAATAATGAAAGGGAAAAAATGCCAAGAGCATTATCAGAGAGTGAACTGCAGGAGGAACTAAAAAAGAGACGTAATAAAAAATTAATGATAAGAATTAATCACAAATGTAGAACTAACGAGAAAGCAATAAAAACTGTGGAAGAAAAATTAGAAATTAAAGTGGATTGGAATACGGTAGGAAGAAGTGAGCAGGGTACAATAAGTTTAAAATTTAAAAATATGGAGGAAAAGAAAAATATCGTAACGAAAAAATGGAAACTGAAGGGAACAGAAATATACATAGATGATGAAATGACGGAAAGAGAGAGAGAGAAGTAAGAAAATGGCTGAAAGAGTTAGAAAGAAGTGAAAGAGCGAAAGGAACAATGGCTAAAGCTGGGTATATGGGAATATGCATAAACTACAATTGGATGTACTGGGATGAGAGAAGAGGATTAATTGAAAAACCAGTGAGAAGTGAATGAAAAATAAGAATCTCAATCAGGGAAAGTGAAAATCAAGAGAAATGTATAAAAAATGGAATAAAAAAAAGTAGAGAGGGTAATAACAAGAAAAGCGACAGTGAAAAATTGATAGAGATAAAGGTGTGTAATAACAAAAATATAAAAAGAAACAAAAGTAAAAATAAAGATAAAAGTTTAATTAAAAATAATAATAATAATAATAATAATAAAAGAAAGAATAAAAACAAAAATAGTGCTGAAAAAGAAAAACCGAGTAAAGTGATGTGTTGGAACATCGCGGGTATAAAAGAATACAGTGAGCTTAATAAATTGGTGGAAAATTATGACGTAGTATCCCTGATTGAGACTTGGGTTGAAGAAAAAGACAAAGAGAAGGTGATAAAAAATTTGAGTAGTGAATTAAAATGGTGGTGTAAACCAGCAGAGAGAAAAGAAAGTTGTACAAGAGGAAGAGCGAGCAGTGGGCATTTAATAGGAGTTAAAAAAGTTTATGAAAAAGACTGGGAAATTAAGGAATGGAAATTCGGTTTTACAATAAGAAATGACTGTAGGAGTGAATTAATAGTGACAGTTTATAATAATGTAGGAATAAAGAAAATAAAAAATGTAATGAAAAAATATGAATGTGAGTATGAAAATATTATAGTAATAGGAGATATGAATGCAAGAATAGGTGAATGCATGGTGCCTGGGTTAAGTGAGGATAATAATAAAAAAAGAAAATCAAAAGACAAAGTAATAAATGCGGAGGGCAAAAAGTTATTAAAATTGTGTGATGATCTCGGGTTAAAAATATTAAATGGAGCAACAATGGGTGACAGAGCAGGTGAAATGACTTTTATAGGTGGAAAAAATGAAGATTGCTGCTCAGTGTTAGATCTTGCATTACAACTAGATAGAGGAGATGAAGTAAACATAATGGAGTTTAGAGTATTAAAGAGAATAGAGTCGGACCACCTACCAATACATATTATTACAAGAAGAAATAGTGTGGGAGTAATTGAAAAAGACAAGAAAAGTGTAAACATAAAAAAGGGTTAACAAAACTAACTGAGGAAAGGTTAAAGTGGAAAAAAGAGAAAGTAATGGAATATGCAGAGCAAGTGTACACAAATTGGAGTAATACAAAAGAAGACAAAGAGGAATTGGAGTGGGAAGATGTGAAAAATATAATATATGAAGCGGCGAAATCAACAAAAATGAGCACAAAATCAAGAAATGGTAGAGGTTGGGGAAATAAAAGAAGAGAGTGGTACAATGATGAGTGTAAAGAAAAAAGAGAGATTGTGTGGAAAAAATTAAAAATGATGCTTAAGGAAAGTGAAAAAAGTGATAGAAAAAAAGAATATGCAGAAGCAAAAAAAATATATAAAAAAAACAATTAAGGATGCGAAAGAAAAGTGGTGGCAGGAAAAGAAAAAAGAAATAGACAAGGCAAGAGATATGAGTTAATGGTGGGAGGCAGTAAATAAATTCAGAAAGAAGAGAGCAAGAAAAAAAATGGGTGAAAAAATAGACGGTGATAGATGGGTAAAGCATTTTACAGAATTATTAAATAACAAGAAAGCGAATAATCTTAAAGATTTAGTAGAAAATGAAAGAGAAGAAACGGAAAACGGAAGAGATGAAGATGAAATAAGTGCAGAGTTTAGCAGGAGAGAATTTGCAACAGCGATAAAAAAATTAGGAAAAAACAAAGCACCAGGGGAAGATGGAATAGCGGCAGAGTTCATAAAGAATCTACCGAGGGAAATAAGCGAAGATATAAGAAAAATAATAAATAAAATGTGGAATGAAAGTAATGTGCAAGCAGGTTGGGAAAAAGCAAGAATAATAACAGTACACAAGGCAGGGGATGAAAATGTAACAGAAAACTATAGAGGCATATCGTTGTTGGATATAGGGTACAAATTATTAACAGTAATGATGGCAGAAAGAATAATGAGCTGGACAGACAGAGAAGGAAAGATGAAAGAGAGCCAAGCGGGTTTTCGAAAAAGAATAGGAACAAGAGACCACATTTTCACATTAAACTCATTGATAAATAATAGGCTAAAAAAGCGGAAGAAATTGTATGGATGTTTCATAGATTTGAAACAAGCATTCAACACAGTGGATAGAGAGATATTAATGAAGAAATTAAGGAATGTAGGAATTGGTGGAAAAATGTACAAAATGATAAAAGAAATATATGGCAAAACAACGTGCGAGGTAATAATTAATGGAGCGAAAACAAAAGAATTTGAAGTGAATCAAGGTGTGAGACAAGGATGTGCGTTAAGTGCAGTGCTATTCAATATATTTATTGATTACATGGAGGAAGAGATGATGAGAAAAAACATAGGAGGTACAGTGATTGGAAAAACAAAATTTTATATGCTGAAATATGCGGACGATGGAGTAATAATAGCGGACAATCCAGGACTAAGTGAAATGCTAAAAGAGTTAGAAAAATACATGGACAAAAGTAAATTAAAAGTGAATACAAAAAAAACAAAAATAATAATTTTTAGAAATGGAGGAAGGAATGAGAGAAAAAAATGGTACTACAAAGGGGAGAGACTCGAGGTGGTGAGCAGTTTTAAATACCTAGGTTATACATTTACTGCAAAAAATAGCCACAGCAGACACATGGAAACGATGAAAAATAAGGCGAATAAAATGGCAAACGCGACATGGGGAATAATAAAAAGAACAGAAAGGAATAATATAAAAGACAGGTTGTATTTATATAATACATTAGTTAGAGCAGGGTGTTTATATGGAGTAGAAATATGGGGAAGCGAAAAAGTAGATAAGATGACAATAATGCAAAATAAGCTACTGAGAATGGCATTAGGAGTAAGAAGAAATACACCTGGATATATAGTGCAAAAAGAAACAGGAAGTGAAATGATAGGAGTGATAGTAAAAGAAAGAGTATGGAGATATATATTGGAAATAATAAAAATGGATGACGAACGATGGCCGAAAATATGTTTAAGAGAAGAAATAAAAGGTGTTTTAAATAAACATCCAACAAAATGGGGAAAACAAATAGAAAATATAATGAAAGAAATGAAATGTGAAAAAATAATAAAAATGATATATGACAATGAAGATACAGAACTGATAGAAGATGGGATAAAAAAAGGTCTGAGTGAATACAGAAAAAGCTGGAAGAGAAAATAATGGAAAAAATAAATACCTCGAGTTACAACAAGATGTACAAGGACATATTAACAGAGAGCGAAAATCAAGAATATTGGAGCGATATAGAAGTGAAAAGTGAGGACAAAGAGACATGGGCGAAAGTGAGATGGGGAAATATTACACGTGCAGGAAAAAAAGGAATAAGTGATTGGAGTTGCAGGGTATGTAAAGAGCAGGAAGAAAGTATAGAACATATCTTGATGTGCGAGGAAGTAAATAAAAGGTTAAGTGAAGAATGTAAAAAGCTGATGAATGAGTGGAATGTATACAAAGGCAGTGAAAGCATTATGAGAATAAAAATAATGGAGAAACTAAAAGGAAAAATTTGTAAAAATTTATGTAAATTAATAAAAGAAGTAGAAAAAATACAAAGAGAGTGCGAGAAGGATGAGTGTAAAAAAAGCAGTGATAATAATGAGGTGCTGAATTTAATTCAAGTAAAACAATAAGATTGGGTCTGAATGAGTAGGATAAAGTATGAAAAATGATAAGAGATTAATATTAAAAATAGTCTAAGAAAAAGCAATAAAAGAGTAAATAGAAAGTTAAGTGTATATTGGTAGCACAAATAAAGCATAATTTATTTAATTATAGTCAACTACAATGTGTAGTAATAATAGTGCAAGCCAAAAATTAAAATAAGAGAAAAATAGAATAACGAGAGTAAATTATCTTTTATATGAAAGAAATATGTAAAAACAACTATGTGACTTTGTAAAACACAAAAATTGTGATACAAATAAAACTTATTTATTATTATTATTTTATCTAAATATTACACTAAATACTAAAAAAAAAAATTTATACTGATGTACTGTATTTTTAAGATATCCAGTAGCCACCTTGAAGTTGGAAAAAAAATGTTAGTTCATATTCAGAAGGTCTATAAAAAACAACAACAGTAGCATTTTTTTTATATAACATCATTTATTAAAGGATAAAATAAATGACAAATAACATATCGCTTTTATGAAACTATAACATTTTTTAGTATTCATAATTTGTTACAAGATAAAATAAATCACATCATGCAACCCTCCTAATGTTATTACAAAATCTCTAAATTCGAATCTCTATTTATCACGACAACTTATACTATTACCTAGTTAACAAATAAAGGAGCAAAGAAGCGACAAATAATATTATCGATGAATATATTTATCAAAACTGACCAACTCCCACATCAAATCAAGCCTCGAAAACTTGTGACAGTTTTTGTATTGACTTAATTAGGCTCTGACCGCGAGCTTAATGAACTCAATAAAATTTTTAATGACACAATATATATCTGACGTTGAGAGTTCAATCAATTTCAATTTTACAAAATAATAGTTACAGTTAAAATAATTGAAATTTAATGACATTAAAGAAAATTATTTGAGATTCGAATCGAAGATCCATGTTTATTAAATTTAAATCTCTTTATCATTATTTTATATATCAATATTAGAAGGGCTAGTTCAAATCACGTCAATTTATCACACAGTTATTTCTTTAGTATGTGACGTATATTAATTACAATAAATGTTTTATTACTTAAAGAAAATAATTTAGATAAAAATAAAATATTACTCTGACTCTCCGTAATAATATTAAGTTTACTTTTTCTTTTAATTTGTTCTGCCTTCACAGATTTCATGATATTCAAAGGCATCGCTTTATTATAATGAATATTTAAAAAAAAACCTTCACTCTCTGAATATAATTTTTTAAACTTTTAAATTGAAAATTTACAATTTTGTCGACTAAACCATCATCAACCTTTCACTTCATTTTTAAATCATCACTCTGACTTATTTTTTTCAGTTGCTCCATGCACACTGTTGTGCTTTATTTATGTTTCTCACTTATTCGGTCTTTATATTAACTAAAAAAGTTAATACAATAATAAATTTTTTAAATAATTATTTCGAATAAATATATAAATCTGGATGGACCCCTTCAAAAAATGAACGCAATCCTCTTTAATTATTATTTTATACTTTTCAATAACCACAGACGTATTGTTATATTAATTCGTCTTATTTATTTTATTTATATCATATATATTTTTTCAATGTATATTATATCGTCATTAGTTACACTAAGCAAAATAATATATCAATGTATTTTATTCGCTTCTGAAATATTTCATTCATCTTTACTTTTAACGTCCGTAAGGGTTATTATTATATTTGTTACACTTATTATTAATTACAAATAATAGTGATTTATTCTTTAAATTTTATTATTTTGACATTTTTAATTTAACGACTTATTACTTAAATTATTTTATCGATACGCATTAATCATTATTCTTTTCCGATCACGTCTTTGTATTTTTTTTTTCTACAACGGAAAGAAGCATGCATTACATGCTTTCTATATTTAATATAATAATAATAATAGTAGTAATAATTAAAAGAGAAAGTCTACAAATGTAAGAAATCAGTGTTTCAATAACTGTTTTTTAATGATTCAGTCCCTCTAAGAGATCATTTCACGAAGTTTTATGGTATCACTTGTTTATAGTTTTTTTTTCTTTTAAATAATAATTCTTTGAAGTGCAACCATAAATCGACGTACTCATGTTCATAATTCTTATATTATAAATACGTCCTGCGAATTCTCCGCAGGATCTCGACAAATTGCCAATAAGGGACTGTTTTGTACAAAAAAAAAAAATCACTTAAATAAAAAATGATATCAATATTAATTAATATTAGTATAATTGAAAAAATAATTAATAATCCTGAATATAATATTGATTTAAGTTCTAAATGAAAAAGTAAAATCTATACGATGTGTAATCTGATTTAAAACACATTAAAATGTAAACAAAAAGAAATAATGAGTTAAAGATAAAAATTAAAAATTAAATGAAAGTCCTAATAATTATACAGATTAAATGATAGTATTTTTCAGAAAAAAAAAAAAAAAATGCTGATCTTTAGACCGCTTTATTTATATCTTACTAAATCATATGAATTCAATTAATCAATTTTATGAATCAAGAAATTAATGTTATGTAATGGTTTTTATATTCTCTCGTTTTTCTGTAATTAAATATTTGATATCACTGAACTGTTTTATTCTTTTAAAATTGAAAAGAATAAAAATTAAAAGAGAGAATAATTATTCTAAAATATCTGGGTTTATTTTTGTTTTGTCAATACTGTTTTTTTTTTTTTTTTTCATGAGTTTTTTTGATAATTTTTTGTATGTTGTATGTCGTATTTGAGATTATTCGAATTCAAGAATAAGAAAACAAATCAAATGACATGTTGTTTAAATCAATAGCCGTCGTAAATATAATTTATGAATAGCGTTTGAAAATGTTAATCCATAAGTATTTCTGATATGTTAATGTAAAATGTGACGAACTTTTAATAATTAATTCATATAACCATATAACAATCTACAAAGTTGTTTTTTTTTTATTTAATTTGTTATATAGTTTTTTTTTTCTAAGTAACTAACAAAACTTACTAAATTGCAACATTTTTTGTCACATTGTTATTTGTTCCACGGGTTTGTCACATTTCTTTATTTTATAATTATTATATAATTATTACCAAATTGGAAACACTCAAGATTTAAGGGATCACTAGTAATACGGAAATCTGTCAAAACACTGAAAATTTTTCCAAGTATTTGTAATCAATCATTTTTTTTTTTATATATAATAATTTATACTATAAAAAGCAAATGAATTATTTTCAATAATCTTTGATTGTAGCTAATTATTAATAAATAAATAAATAAATTTTTATTGTAATATCTGACGATTAAGAAGTAGGTGTCATGATCCATCAAGATAAAAAATGAACTGAAACTCAATTTTATGTAGGCGTTCTATATTTAATTAGGTTAATCAATTCAAAAGATTCAGAACGAAAAAAATTCCCGTTTTTTGACAGATCTTCCTATTGATAGTGAATACTCATTTAATTGATTGAAGACTGCATATAAACTCGAGCATTGTTGATTTCTCGAATATTGTGAGTGCTTTGTGACGCGTGTTAGATATATTATATATTTAATTTAATTAACTAGATGATAGTTTAAAGTAATAATTTATTAATGACAAGTTTATTTAAAATGTCAAATATTGGTCTTTTGATAATAGATTATTTTGCTCCCAAACTTTTGTTATAAGTAGTTAGTAATTTTTAAAGCAATTATATTATTTATTATTCACGTGCTGTATTTCACACGTTACAAATATATCAAGTGAGTTTGTAATTTATGTTATGATTCAATCGTCAGTCATCTCAGGTTCTTTCGAATTTTTTTTTACTTTCTTAGTCTGTATTCAATTTGTTTTAATTTTTCTATCAAAGGCATAGATATTCGTTGAACTGCTATGTAATTTATGTCTGCTTTTAAGATATAATTTTATGGGTTTTTCGGTGGTTTTATTAATCACAGTATACTTAAATTATTTAATGTTTTCAGATTTAGTAAGTAGATTTTTAAAATTAACAGATTGTTAAATTTTTTTATAATCCATCAAATTTTGTGTTACTACGAATTATTAAATTTATAAATAATTTATTAATTTAGCTTCTTAAATTATCAATGTCACTGTTCAACGTTTGATTATAAAAACAAAATTTTTAAAAACGAAACTAAGATTTATAATTGTGCATTTTTTAAAAATGCGATAGATACTTATAAGATTTATTATTTATTATATAATTTTTGTTTTTTAGAATTGATAAAATTTTTATTGTGACATAAAAAATATTCATCGTAAAATAGTTTATATACATATTAAATTCATTATAAGAAAAAAAAACCGCGTATTTACAATGAACAAATTGATTAATCAAAAATTTTTTAATTATTATAATAAATCACGACAAGAACAATTCAATAAAATTCTAATAGGAACACGCTAAAAATATAATAATACATATTTTTTGTTATTTACAAACTTTTTGAAGCCCCATTGTTCTTTGAAAAGGGTGAAACATTTATTTTTTTTTTCATCTCGTTAATATATAGTTGATTACAAAACTGCTTCTGTATCTTTTTTTATTCAGTCAATTCTGCCTTTAATAAAATAACGTATTTTTACAATGACTATTCTTGAATAATTTAAGGCAAATTAAGATATTACTAATTGTAAAAAATTAAAAAATAATTTTTAAAAAACAGCACTTGTTTAGAGGAATTTATTATTTCAAAAATTTGAAAAAATCTATTAATTGTTGAATTAAAATAAATACCTGGTAATGACTGATGTAAAGATTTTTATAATAAATCCAAGTGTATAAAGTTAAATTATTGAAACATGTTATTGCCGTAGTGTTTCAATAATAATCATTGTTAAAAAGTCGTATTTGTTTCGTCGAAAAATATCAAAAACAAATAAAGTTTTTTACAATCGCGTCTAAATAGTGCAATAGCTTCTATTAAATTAATCATAGTGATTGTTTTTTTATCATAAAATATGATCGTCAGAGCTCGGGTTTTATAAAGTATCGAAGCTTATGGCGATAATACATTAAAGTAATCCAACTGACCAGCTTTCAGGTAAATACAAAACTTGACATGTCAATTAGGTCATATGCTGCATAATTGCACGCAGTGCGTATAATAATTCTGCTTGCATACGAGCTTCGAGAATCATCAAATTCACATGAACCTAGAAAGAAAAAAAAATTTAGTAACAAGAGTTAAATAACGTAAATTATTCTAATAATAATAAAAATTTTAATTTTTAATAATAATAATAATAATAATAATAATAATAATAATAGCATAAAAAGTAAAACATAATTTAAATTTTAATGATAAGAAAACTCTTTTTTATGACAAAAAATACGTAAAATTAAAACATGGATTAACAAAATTTCTATTTATTACATTAAAAGGTATAAATGAATATTAAAATAAAAATAATAAATGAATAAATAAGATTAAGCTAACCTTTTCACTATGTTTAAATTCTTTCATAACTCTGTCATAATCTCTTTTAGTAACACGTTCAGGATAACAAACTGCGTTTTTAATGAAAGTCTTCAGACTACGTTCCAGAAGCTGATTTACAGCATTATAATCGTAGTCGTCGTGTCGTATACCAAACATACATTGAATATAATTCCAAATAGCTCGTCTAAAGTGTGAAGTATCGACTTTATCGTGAGTGCCCATTGTGTAATAAGTAAGAGTAGAAGCTGTTTTGAATTTTTCATCTAAGAGCCCCCCAACTTCATTATAGAGACGACTCACTAGAGAAAAACCGTGAACATCCCATGAATAATCTTGGGTACGAAACGTCGGTATGTCGTTAACTTGACCTCGCTGAAATAATTTAGTTTTTTAATTATTTATTTTTTGGGAAGAAAAAAGATAATCGTAACAGTAAATGATCACTATCGAATATTATAATAAATTTACAAAAAAAAAAAATACCATAAATCGTTACTTACAGATTAAATAATTAGCAAAAAAATTAATGGACTAATTAAAGTTTGAAAGAGTACTTTACTTCAAAAATAAAATTTATTGCGCAGATATTTTGGCGGTGAGTCAAATATTACACAAACAAGGAAATTGAGTAAATTATTTTTCGAAACTGATTATTATCGACTCATCAAGTTTGGTTTATCTGATCAATTAATAAAATATTCAAACGCGTGCTCTTTTACAATTAAATATAACAATAAAAAAATTTTAATGATACTATCGAGATAATAATAATTATTAATATGGTAAAAAGTAATTAAAGTTTTTTTGCGAAACTAAATCAGTCAGTTAAAATAACAAAATTGTCAAAAAAAGGTATTCTGAAGAAAGGTGTGAGAAAAAGCGATAATGACGCGAATATCGTAATAACTTTTCAGTAGAGATATTTTATTAGTAAAAAAAAAAAGTTAACTTGAAAGTTTACCTTGGCAAAGTCTTGGTATATATACTCAGGTTCTCTAACAAAAGGTTCAATGTCAGAATTGATAGGTGGACTTGATCTTTCTTGAGCTGGTTCTAACTCAGCAGACTGAGTTTCGACAGATTTAAATCTTTTAGACAGTTCTTCTTGTGGAAGTGTGGATATTGAGTTTTCTGACAAATATTTCATTCGTTCCATTAACGTTAAAACTCCAACTTCTTGTTCCCCGACTATAGTCGGTGACGGCGGTGGTGAATGCACTTTATCTTATTGTACAAAAACACATTTATTTTAAATAAAATTTATAAAAAGTACCATCGAAAAAGTGAAAGAAAAAAAATCAAGTTTCTTACCAGTCGTGCTTCCACTACTAGAAATCTTTTTTGGACTTTTTACCACATTTTCTTTGGCAGGTGATACATTATTACTATTGGCTTGAATGTTTTCCTTGCCTTGATAGTTACCAACTAAGTCAAGTTCCTCGTTGATTCCGCAAGAAAATACGAAAGACGATAACGAATGAAAGTGAGCCAGTAAAACTATTGCATGAACAAGTTCAGAAAGAGACCAACTGTCTTCGCCTTTAGTCATTTTCTGAAACAAAAAAAGTTATATACAAATTATATAGTATAGTTAATATATTTATTAATTTTATTTTTATTTTACAAGCAAATATATTATTTTTTATATTACCTCTATATGAGCTTTAGTTAACAGCCAGGGCCTATGCGCAAGAATTTTATTAATTTCATAAAGATTTTGCAGTTTTTGTGGAATAAATCTTAATCCTTGTAACCAAGTAGGGTCACCGCCTTGAAGAAGAAATTCTGCTTTTTGTAAATTTATTAAATAACTGCATTGATGTCTACCAGCAGCCTGAAACAAATAAAAAAATATTAAGAATCATTTAATTCTAAAATTTGTTAACAAAAACATTTCCATATATTCTCAGTTTTTTTTTAATGTTTTGAAAATTAAATTTTTAAAAATGATTGATAATTTTTTTTTTTTCTTATAATAAATATATTTTCAAATAATTTATTAATTAAATAAAAAAAGTTTCAAATTGATAAAATAATAAAAACTAATTTGAATTGATAAGTCCTAAGAATTGAAGGCATTAATTTATTTCCGAAACTTTAATGAACTAGATTACTAGATCTTTCTAATGATTAATATTTATAAACTAGGGAAAATTAATCAATTGTATACTGCTGGTCAGAATTAGATCAAGCAATTTCAGATAAAAAAGATAAATTAACTTAGTAGCTTTTTAAAACATTAAATGGATAAATAAAGAATATCTTTTGATTGAAATACATATAAATGTCGGTATATCCAAGTGCTATCGTTAATTTTTCATCAAATAATAAAAAAAGTAAAGAAGATTTTTAGAAAAAAATCCACATTTTAAAGATAAATAATTTATTGATAAACTTTGACATGTTCTAGTGTAACGATCATTCAAACAGAGCAAGTCATAGAGCAGACTTTTATCGTCATAAAAAAATATGAATTAGATGCATTGTAAATAGCCACTATAAACAACAAAATAGATCTATTAAGTATGTTAATAGTTTTTAATAAAATGTTTATTATAAATAGATGATACGCGTGTAGTGATTATATAATTTGTTTTTCTTAGAACTCTCTCCAACGATGCCACGACTATTATTAAAACCAAGACGTTTCATTATACCAATTACACTTTGACCTTGCGAACCTATTGATTTACTTTTAATTTTTCTTTATTGTAACAGTTGATTAATTTTTATATTTGTTGTCATTATTGTTTTTATCTATTTATCTATCTATCTGCCTGTCTATTGATATTAATTTAGTAAGAGTACGAATAAACAACCGAAAAATGTGTATTAAATTTAACACTATCAGTGTGTGGTTAAACAGTTACTCAAGTAATCTGTTTAATTTTTAACACATTAATATACTTATTAAAATTAAGCAATGAAAATTTTCGTTGAGATTAGTTGGATTCGTTTCTGGAACCTTTCCGCCCGGCGGTCTAATCTCTCTGTTTCCAAGTTGCAAAATTTTAATTATTTAAGTCGTCTATTCAAATTTTTATACTCAAAAACAAAAAATTTAAAACTTTAAATAAATAGAAAAAAAAAAAAAATACTTTACCATTATAGCGATTAAATGACGATAGACAAAGGGGAGCGGACCATCACCTCGTAAGATAAATTGTTGAGTTTTAAGAAAGTTATCTAGGTACGAAGGATGCGATGACATCACTCGCGAGATGTGGTCTACCCGTGTAGTTTGTAAAAAGGTTTCCACAAAGTACCCGTGAGTCTGTAACACATAAAAATAAATAATTATTAATTTTATTTTAAAATTAGTCGTCAAATTTGTTTTTCAATTTAACTTTTAAGTTATAAATTTACTTCCTACGTTAACATTTCATCTGTTGTGACACTGGCATAATAGATCCTGAGAACCTGTTTTATTTAGAGGTCAACGAGAATCAAATGTGTAAATAAGTTATGCAGTTTTTGGAGTCATTATCCTACATTAAATCTCTCAAGTTTAATAAAATTGAAAGATAAATGATTAAAAAAAAAAAAAACTACACATGCTAATCGAAGTTCATTGGTCTTTGGATACTCTCAAGGTTATAGGTATCAATCTTTATTATTGTTACATCATGTTTACAATAATTATTTTCTTCAATATATAGATACGTGTCTTTTAGATATGTATGTGTATGTTTAAGAGTTTATAAGAATAATTTTAATATCAAAATAAATTTGCGTGTATAAATAAAGTAATAAATGATAATTGAACATTGTGGTGTATTTATACTCATATATCGAAATAAATAAATATAAAAGAATAAATTTGAATAATGCAACAGATAAGAACGATAATAAAATTGATACAATTATTCAGAAATAAAATATTGAAAAGTCTTAGTCTATTTATTTTATTTTATACCTGTGACTTTGAAGTCTGGGTTTAGTCTCGTATTTGAATGGAATCAATTTTTTTAAATTCAATAATTCAAATTTTGACTTAGATTTTTATGACACCTTCTCACAAAGTTTTATGCTAAAGCATTAGGGGGCGTGCCGATTACGGAAAATCTTACTTAACCGTATAATTCATCGAACTGGGTCATAAAGTGGTATTTTATTGTACTTTTTGTATTTTACCGAAGAATAATAAAAATAATTTACAAAAGAAAATAAATTTAGTCCATATTTTTAAATTATATAAAGATTTTGTTCTTCTTGGAATAAAATTTTTATTTTTTTTTTCTAAAAATAAACTAAAAAAAATTGAATCATTTTTTGGTAGTAAAAAAAGTTGCATGTTGAAAATCATCCGTTTTTTTTTATTTAATCAATCAAATTATATGCAACAGGTTCACAGAAATTAAATAGTTAATTAATTGATAAAAAAAAAACTAAGATTTATATTATTATTAAAAAATAGAGTTGATAAAAAAAAAAAAAAAAAACGATGTCAGATGATTTTATTTTATAGAGTTAAAAGTAATGCAGTTGAAACTGTGCCATCATAATTAAATGTCCTTGCATTTGGTCAATGAACTCAAAATGGCTTCAATTTATATGTATACTATAAAAATCTTTATACCAAGTAACGTAATATAACGAGAATAAACAACGCGTATTATTTTATTGGTATGTATTTTTATAAATAAAATATAATCTTCGATAAATAATAACAATTAAGTATACAATATCCTAAATTTTTTAACACCCATATATTTATTCTATTTGTTAATATGTATTAATCTAATAGTTATCATTATCATATCACTGTCATCTTGTAAATTTGAAAATATCAATTAAATTTATCAATTCGATTGATAAGAGTGTGATTAGTTTTGAATAAATATCTAAAAGTACAATGAAAGAGAACAATGAGTTTTTTTAATTGATCAAAAATACTTGAAATAGAATAAAAGTAATGAGATCAGTTTTAAAAATAGCAGACACAGGTGTAGCGGTAAATAATAAATTTAGCACTTAAATTATTACAAGCTCAATTTATTAAAACGAATTATTGATGCTTCCTATCCCTGCAAATAGTGTTTTGACACGCTTGTTATCATTCTCATTTGTTACGGATCATAAATTTAGTCTTGTGTACTCTATTTATTTGATAATGTACAATGTACATCTATCCTATGAATTAATTAATTGATTAACGAGATTAAAAAAACTGAGGATGATTTCAAGCGATGTTTGATAAAGATTAATGAAAAAAGTAATTGTTAAATCTAATATGAGTTATTTTGAGATAGATGTAATACAATGAAAAGTGTTTTTGAGTATTATGAAGTCATTAATGATCAACGTTAACGCGAGATAAGAGTCTATTTGCCGTAAATACATCGAACAAACAAGTCCATAAATTTTAATATAATTTTACATCTTTAATATAATTTACACTTATCAAAATATTACAATAACAATTATTATAAATAATATTATTGATAAGCTCTGAATTAAAGTTAAAAATAAATCACCAACAATTCATATATCAGCTTTTTATTTGAATTAAAGTCACTTCTACTTAGACATATGTCTAATAAAAAATTTTAATTGATAATAATCATAAGTTTCACATAATGTTAACTGATATTTTCGAAGATTAAATTAAAAAATGAACACATCTTCATTCATATTAGACAAGTCTAACGATGTTAATCTCTAATAATTTTTCTACATATTATAAGCCAAGAGATTAGAACCTAATATGACGAAAACTTATTCTTTGATTAAGTAACGATTCATGGAAAGAAAAGAATGGTATTACATGTAATATGGGGCCCATTATCATTTAACACAGATTAGGCGTAGTTCATTATATATTAATATAGTCCTAATATACATTTTATTTTTCCTCTTAGTAAAAGCAATTCATTTTATTAGATAATTTAAAAAAAATGGGTCGGATAAAAGTCGTCAGACCAACATTAATATAAGCTTCATTTAAATTTTTTCTTCGTATGGAATATATTTTAAAAGTATAAAATTATTCAATTCTACGCATGCTGCTATATGAACATAACAAGAATCTTATGAAAAAAAATAAATAAAAACCAAAGATAGAGAATGAGAACGACAGTTTTTATGAGAACCAGATGTGGGACTTGATCTTATAATAACGTGTTATATTTTTCTGTCAGTTTAACACAGTGGCTAAATTAAACCAAAACATCAACCGCTAATAGTCGTTCAAAGAATGTAATTTCGCATAATTTTTCAGTAGAGAGGGTATTGCTGAGTGGTGCCAGACCGCGTGAAGATGGTATTTTTATTATTACGTCACAAGTAATTGATTTAGAGTGGCTTAAAAAAAACAAGTTCGAGCTTTGTAATATTGAATAATATACTGTAGATGGAACTGTGGAAAAAAAAGAAAATATATGCATTAAAGTAAAGACGTTAACAAAAATTTAATTTATGATGTTTCCACATTGGTAAATCGAATGAACAACACCGGTAAAATTTTAATAATGGAATGTGCAAATATTATTTTTGATATTTCTTGTGGAAGTTTTTTGATTAATTTTTTTTTTTAATATTTAGTCACTGACAATCATTAATGTTCTGAGTCGATGTTATACTAAGAATCTGACTTAGTTAAAGATAAAAGAAACAGTGAAATTAATAAAGACTAATTTGATGAAGCATTATATTTTCTAAAAAAAAATCTGCTTATTTTTTTAGTAACTTCAATGTTTAACTATAAAGTTGAATTTGTAATTTTAACAAGCAAATTTTACACAAAAAAAAAAAAATTTATTTGATTTATATTTTTTTATAGTGTTATATAGTGAAGTTTAGTTGACAACTGAAATATTTTTCATATGGAAAACTTTTCTGGTACTTACACCCTTAATAATTTCGATCATCGAACAAATTTAATATTTTATGTGAAAAGCAATGCTTGTACGCCAATTAATTGAATTCTTAAAAATAACATCTACAAAATATCTTATAACTGAGTACTCATTGACAATTATCAATGTAATAACAAAATAATTATGACCGATAAACGATAATTAATACTGTTATAATTCAAACCTATTATTAGGTGCTTGCAATATTAATTAAAAAATAATATATCTCTAATCTTTCATGTTGTAAATGAATTTTAAACGTTTTATATGTTCCAAAGCGTCACGTTAACTTCAACCATTAAAATCGTAAAACTTATTACAACCTCCAAAAAATAAGATAAAAATAGAATTATTAAATCTATTTTTTTGTCAATTATCAATTTCTAGGTATTTTTATTAAGAAAAAAAAATACTCTTATCAACGGTAGTTGTATTTTAATTTACACAGCTCACAAGAGGTGAGCGACGTTTTTTTTTTTTTATAGAATTGAAGCTCGTACTATGACAAATATATAGATGTTGACTTCTTTTGTGAAAATTACAATTTGCTTGGAAGTATAATTATTTTTCAATTATGATTTTGAAGTTTGCTTAAAATTTTATCTTTTTATTTTAGACTAGTACAACTGTTTAAATTAAGAAAATAAATAAACGTTTGATCTGACTTTTGTGATGAAATGGTTATAACAACCGATATCTGTTGAAGTGTACTAGTAGCATCATGTGAATAATTAACTTCTAAATGAGACAAGATTGTCTTGTTACAATTATTAAAAACAGTTATTTAAATAACAGTCTGTAATAACAACTCATTATTGATATTGTATGTACTTAATAAAAATTGCTGTCATGCGTAATATCTTATTCAAATTTCGTCAGTTTAAACGTCCTCATTATGAAAATGAGCTAAGTTTCTCTTTTCTCAGTTATTCGGAAAAAAAAAAATATCACAATTCTATTCGATTAAATTAAAATTTTAAATGATCATCATTTCTCAAATAATCAATCAATATTGGTCTCCATCAAACCTGATCAAAATTATTGTTGATAAAATAGTAGTGTAAAATTTTATTTTATTGAATAAAATATAACGGGGAGAAAATTGCACTTCGCAAGTATTTCTGTAAAAAAAATTCTTTAAATCTAACAGAATATTTTATTTTAATAATGTCTATTTGAACTTTTCAGGTAGATTTCGTAGAAACCAAGTAGTCGAGTATATAAGGCTTAAAAATGGCATTGGCTTCAAAGTTTATCTATCTATCTATAGACTACTTATTTTTTGGATTTTATCAACTCTTTCTAATTTTTTTTTCGATTTACTTTTGTATATATTAAGCGGGCAGGAACGGCTAGTATATGTATATCTAATGTAATATAACGCGGGTTGTGGATATGATAGTTCCTACAATTCTTGAT